AAAATTTTTACGCTCAATTATTAGAACATTTATCTTCTTATATCTAGAAGCACTACATATGAGAGAGAGAAAATTCGCTCAATTATTAATCCGCTTATTTTATCTTATCTTATACTTAAAATCACTGCATATGAGAGCGGAAATTTACCCACTCAATTATTAGTCTGCTTATCTTATATTATATTATCTTATCTTCTTCTTATACTATACCTAAAAGAACTACATATAAGAAAGAATTTTTCCCGCTCAATTATTAGTCCCCTTATAACTTCTTATATATAAAAGCACTACATATGAGAGAGAAATTTTTCCCGCTCTATTATTAATCCGTTTATCTTGTACAAAAAAACACTACATATGAGAGGAAGAGATTATCCTGCTCAATTATTAGTCCATCCGCTTATCTTATATCTAAAAGTACTATGTGTGAGTGATAAAATTTTACCCCTCAACTATTAGCCTGCTTACCTTGTGCATAAAAGCACTACTACATATGAGAGATAAAATTCTCCCGTAGTACACTTATATTATACCTAAAATCACTACATATGAGAATCAAAATTTGCTTGCTCAATTATTAGTTCATTCATCTTCTTGTATACTTAAAAGCACTACATATGTCAGAGGAAATGTCCCCGCTCAATCATTAGTCCGTTGATCTATCTTCTATATTATACCTAAAAACACAGAATATGAGAGAGAGACAGATTTTTTCGTTCAATTATTCATCTGCTTATCTTATACTAAAAAGCACTATGTATGACAGAGGGATAATCCTCCCGCTCAATTATTAGTTCGCTTTATCTTCTTATATTATATTATCTTATCTCCTTCTTATACCTAAAAGAACTACATATGAGAAAGAAATTTTCCGCTCAATTATTAGTCCTCATATATCTTCATATATACAAAAGCACTAAATGTGAGAGAGAGAATCTTCCCGCTCTATTATTAATTCGTTTATCTTATACAAAAAACATTACATATGAGAGAGATAGAAAAAAAATTATTCCTCTCAATGATTAGTCCGTCCGCTTATCTTATATCTAAAAGTGCGTGGTAATGAGAGATCAAATTTTACCCCTCAACTATTAGTCTGCTTACCTTGTGCATAAAAGCACTACTACATATGAGAGATAAAATTCTCCCTTAGTACACTTATGTTATACTACCTCCGTTCTCTTTTAGTTGCAACATTGGACTTTTTTCACTATTCACATGTTCTACTTTGACTACATTTTATTAATTGATATATAATTAATTAAAATTTTAAAAAATATTGTTAAATTCTTCTTATTCTAAATTTTCAAAATATGATTTTTTTAATTTTTTTACTAATAAGGAATGAAAGATATTAATGGTCAAACTTGTGCGTTGGCAAACGTGAAATGTTGACTGTTGCAATTAAAAAGGAACGGAGGAAGTATCTAAAATTGCTACATATGAGAATCAAAATTCGCTTGCTTAATTATTATTTCATTTATCTTCTTATATAATTAAAAGCACTACATATGTCAGAGGAAATGTCCCTGCTCAATCATTAGTTCGTTGATCTATCTTCTTTATTATACCAAAAAACACTACATATGAGAGAGAAATTTTCCCTGTTCAATTATTATTCATTTATATTATATCTAAAAACACAACAAATGAGAGAAATTTTTCATGATTAATTATTAGTTCGTTTATCTTATACCTAAAAACACTGCATATGAGAGACAACTTTTTCGCTCAATTATTCATCGATCCACTTATCTTATACTAAAAAGCACTACATATGAGAGAAAGATAATCCTCCCGCTCAAGTATTAGTCCGCTTATCTTATATTTCGTACTAAAAACACTACATATGAGAGAGAAAATGTTTCTGATCGTTTATTAGCCTACTTATGTTAGACCAAAACGCACTACATATGAGAGAGAAAATTGTTGCAACTTTTTTATGTGTATGTGATATTCTATTAATGTGGAGTGATAGCTTAGAATAAAACTGCATAAATTCTATTAATCTGATATGGATCTTTCTTTAACGTGCATACTATTAATCTGGAGCGATAGCTTAGTACAAAACTGCATAAATTCTATCACTTTTTTTTATTCTTTGCGCAAGATTTTTTTGCAATGTTTTCTCAAAGGTATCACCGTATCACTACGGACTAATAGTGTTCACGGGAAAAACAATCTTTTTAGACAAATAACCAAAGTTTTCTCAAATAAATGCAGTATTTTTAGACGTTCTTTCTCTTAAGAATGAAGAATATTAGAATGAAATTTCAAAAAGTCATTTGTATCAGTCACCGATATGATCATTACTTTCATGGTCCGATTTTGATTTTAGAAACTGTTTGATAACATTAAAATTGATTTAATATGATGAAATTGATGAAATTTTTAGACAAAGTGATTGAAATTAGTTTAATTTATTGATTTATGAATAAATTTAATATAAAATAACCTTCTTATATATAGATAGATGATAGAGACGATGATAAAAAAATGATTTTAAACTATCACAACTTTATAAAAAGTTGTGATAGTTTAAAATAATTATTTGAGAAGTTTCTCAAATATCTTTGTTCAAAAATATTTATTTGAGAATTTTCTCCTATAATCATTTTAATATAATTTTAAGCATAATTATAGTCATTAAAAATTTTAAGTCATAGTTATATCAGTCATTCTTATTCTTGGTTGTATATTATGATTTATTTATTTAATACATAATAATTCGTATCTAGATTCAAAAATGGGAAGGTTTTTTAATACACCTTCAGATTTTTTAAATTTTATATCAAATTTTGATGTCATATGAATGGTTGCAAAAAATTACTCCCTCCGTCCCGTTGGAATGTTCCCGGTTTGACCTACACACATATTAAGAAAATAAACTTACCAGGGGGTAAATTTTACTGTTTGGACACTGTTTGGACACTGTTTGACACTATTTGACACTGTTTTGCACTGTTTGACACTGTTTTGATGTAGGATAACTTTCCATTTAGGGAAATGAGAACTTTCCATTGGGACATCCAAAAAAGGAAAGTGGGAACATTCCAACGGGACGGAGGTAGTATGAATTTTGATATATTTTTTATAAAAATCAAATAAACGATCAAAAAGATACAACAACTTAAAGAAAATGGAGTGTTTAAAAACATTGGGCCCCACACATTTATGTCACGTTTTTTATAACATACGTAGTACTCCGTAAGAAGATGTTGCCCTTTCGTTTGCTATTTTATGTTCCATATTTATCCTTAAAAATAGCCATGTGGCATTTGTATAATAGAGGGGTGAATTAAGGAGAGATTGACACATGAGATTCATTAAGGGTATAATTGTATTTTAATGAGCTATTTCTTTTCTTATATATAAATAGATAGATAGGCTATGGTAGAAAATAAATGTTACGGATCGGAGTACAAATACCCATTCAGGTCTCCCACACTAATAGCCCATTGGCCCCATTTGGTAAAATTAAAATTGGTTGAATCAGCTGATTCTACTGAAATTTATGAAGTTCTCACCGAAGTAACTGAAATAATTATGAGAATTATTATATTTAAAATATATTTCATTAATAAAATAAAGAAAAATATAATCCCTCCGTCTCAATGTCTCATATTGATTGGCAAAGTCAACATTTTTTGGTCAACTAATGTTAAAGTTAAATTAAATGCTCCATATTGATAATTAATTCAAATTTTAATAATTAAAATTTAGATATTCAAAATCTATTTCAAAATCTCTTAAAAGTTGCAAATTCCAAATTAGAATAAAAATAAAAATTGACATCCTAATTAAGTGAATAAAATAAAACTGTTTGATCAAGAAAAGTCAATTTCACAAATCAATTTGGGACGGATATAGTTTAAGAAAAATGGCTAAAATGGCCCTTTACCTTAATTTTAGTCATACTTATTCTGATTGTCACACAATTTAGTACATGAAATCAAAAGTTACATCCTTGCTGAAAATATCTGAGTCAAAACATAAGATCACCAAACGTTTGGATTGTGACTCTGTAAAAGGAAATCCGGGATACCGGGGGAGGCAAACTAGTTAGGTGGCCGGCAAGAAAAGATATATACTCCCTCCGTCCCGTTGGAATGTTCCCGTTCACTATTCATTGTTCAACTTAGGTCACTCCTAATCTTTTACTTTATATACTAGTATCAAATTTTTATCAAAATGAACTTTTCTTGATCAGGCTTTGTAGCGGTTTTAATGTAGTTTCTAAATATGTAAATTTTATTTACTAAAAATAAGCGGAGTGTGAACATGGATCGAGTTGCTTTATCGTCAGTCAAGCATCATAAACCAAATGGGAACATTCCAACGGGACGGAGGTAGTAATATGTGAAAAATTAAAATATAAATAAATAGTTTTTGATTGGGGAGAATTAAAGTAAACGTAGGTTGTTTTCACTTTAGATAGAAATTATCCACAAAGTAATTATTAAAAAAATTGTGAGATACTCACTAAAATCTTTATGATGTAGACATGTTTAATTTACATTCACACTTTTATTCATACGAGCTAGAGTATATGTATATTTTCATGATTAACAGATCTTATTTGATTGGTTTAAGTTTGTTCTTGTCAGATAAAAGGACTAGCAAGTGTATTTTACCATGATATAAGATTAGTCTCGTATGACATGATCTGTTTAAGTCTGATCTAATATAAGATTAGTCGCGTATAATGTTAAATCTAATTTATACTCCTGGCTTGGGTACAAATGGAAATAATTGCAACACAAAATTAGGAAGCTAAGAATCAAGTGATAGGAAAAACTTGCTATCATTAACGAGATTCAATCTTGTCCTTAGGGTTAGGGTGACTCTAAAAAAAGGAAGAGTGAGTCGACTAGGCTATTACCGCAAAAAGAATTAGTGAAGAGCTAGCTAGAGTGGCACCGGCCACTTCTTCTACCTCTATATATTCAAAGAAAAAAAGTACGTTCATCAATATAATCTATATATCATTTGCCTAACTAAAAAATGTTCCATATGTATATATATATATATATGTATCCATCTTGATCACAACAACCCATTCCTCTAGCTAAGAGGAAACAACACAGAGCTTCGATCTGCTTAAAACTTCCTTAACTGTAATGGCGGGGACTTCATCTTCTTTGGCTGTTCTCTGCTCCTTGATGGCTTTCCTTTCTCTCTTTTTCAGCTTCAGCCACAGGTATTTTATTTATGTTTTCTTAAGTCTTCCCTTGTTGATTACATATAAACTCAATTGTAAGTCTTTGATCTACTCCTCTTATAAAGATAAAGACCTCAAATCTCGATCAATAAGTAGTAGCAATAATTTTACCTATTTTTTTTTTGCAAGAAGAAAACTTAATTAACAATAATCAAATCATTATTCAGAGACGAAACAATAAATGAAGGAGGAGAATAAAACAAAGATCACCACTCAGACAAAAAACAAGCAGTTCAATAATTTTAATTAGAGATATTACCCAAAATGAGACTAACAAAGTTTGGAAATTCCAAAATAGGACTTCCATGTTTTTATTCCCAAAATAGGACTAATTACTGTCATGTTTTGGCAGTACCAGACTTCAAACATGACAGTATTTTCCAAATTTGGCAGTAATTAGTCCTATTTTGGAAATAAAATCATGACAGTCCTATTTTGGAATTTTCAAACTTTTTTAGTCCCATTTCCGGAACTTTCCCTTTTAATTATAACTCACATCCTTCTTAGTAAATACCGGAGTGAACTAGTAGAAAGAATTTTGAACACACAAAATAAAGATTCTAAATTATAAAGTTTGGGCCGGGTGGAATGTTCGTTCAATTCCTTGTCAAATTTGATCTTCTGAATTGCGCGCACTAAGTAGAAGTAAAAACAATATGAAATTCGATAACCGAGGTTTTTATGTATTTTCCTCTAATAGAAGTAATCAATGCTTGGAAATTCGTAATGATCGAATTGAATAATAATATTTGATGTTTATTTATTGATTACAGCTTGAAGGAGCATAACGCATCAAAGCATGCTGTGGACGATCCGGAGAGAATTGTATCAATGGTTCAGTCGTGAGTTATCCACAATTTATTTCTCCATTTTAATTTGTTCTGAAATTTTCATCCGTTGCCATATTTGATCATTCGTAATTTTGTAAGTTTAATATCGACTATAAAATTCGATTTTTGTGTAGTATTCCGGCCTGTGTTACATCCTCGATCTAAAACCTAATCAGGCGGCAGGAGAGAGTTTTTTTTTTTTTTAATCATGAAATTAAACTCCATGTCATTATAAGTTCGATTGGATGACAAATTAAATTGGGGCAAAATTTAAACTTCTTATATGTACATGTTTTTAAGATTATTCTTGGTCGTATGTATATGTATGTGCACCCGCTGTGTCACCTGTAAGTGGATAAGCACCTTAAAATTATATATTATATCTGTCCCAATTTATTTTGCAAAGTCAACATTTTTTGTTCAGTCAATGTTAAGGTTATATTCACCTATTAATAATTAGATCAATTTTATTAATTAAAATTTACATGTTTAGAAACTACACTACAACAATCTCTATTGACTTGCAAAATCCAAATTAAAATTTAATTAAGAATTGATATCCTTATTAAGTGAATGAAATGAGATTGTTTGATTCAAAAAATTCAAATTTGCAATTCAATTTGGGATGGAGGGGAATTCGGATAAATGAGACTTTTTTTAATTGGATGTTCCATTGGAATTGCAACATGTCATGGTTGCAATGCATATGAATATATGTGTCTTAAGTTTGTACACCGTATTGCAAATTTATTGTATTATTTTTATAAGAAAAAACTATTTTTTCCAAATTCAAATTGTCAAAAGAAGATATTAAATGTTTAAAAGAAACTTTACATTTACGTTTTGCAAAATTTCAAACATATGTGCTACAATTTTCAAAAAGAATTGTTAATCCCATTTGTGCTTGTGATATTTACAATTATATACTACGTATATAATCTTATTAAAGAATAATGATGCCCATTAAGTGAAACATTTCAACATGTAGTTGAAGACAAAACAATAAGATAATTTACATGTCTTTCCTTAATTAACGTAACATTCCCATTTCTCAAAAAAAAAAAAGCACTACTTTATGATTATTATATAAAAAAAATAACACGTATGAATTACGTTTTATGGCTTATATTTTTTTAAAAAAATAAACTCTATTTTACTAATAGAGTTTCTGCGAACAAAAATATCATTGGTTAAAAATATCATTGTAGATGACGAGTCACTACGAACTAGTCACTAAATATGTCACTTTTTTGGAAAATTTAAAATAAGTCATATTTTGGTGTTTTGAATTTAATTTAGTACTACGTAATATTCATGGAAAAAAACTAATATTTTTTATCATTCCAAGTTTATAATACTCTCTCCGTTCTTTATTAACTGTCTTGCATTCCTTTTTGGAACGTTTTTAATTATTTGTCATCCTTTCCTTTTTTGGGAAGTTTTTTCTATCAAAATACTTTTTCACCCCCACTTTTATTATTTTACTCTTTTCTCTTTCCTACTTTATCATTTAAACACAAACAACTACACATTTTATACTATTCCTATTATTTTCCCCTTTAAACCCGTGTCAAAGCCTAAGGGGACTATTAATAAAGAACAGTGAAGTATATACATAGATTGTAAAATGAGCCAGTAATAAACGAATGATTTTAGTAAAAATGGATAAAATGTCATTTTATGTGCTTTGTTCACATTATACTTTAGTGGCAGTTATAACAGATATGCATACTTTGTTATTCTATGACATGTATTTTAATAGTAGTATTTTTATAGAAACTAGGTAACATACAATATGATAATCTTTTTATATGGTTTTATTTTTATAGTATTTTTATTTTATATGAATAATATTACATGAAGAATCGCGCGCGTGGGATTCGCGGTAATAAGTACTCCCTCCGTCCCCTTTTAAATGGGACGGGAGATGGTGGCACGAGTTTTAAGAAAAGTGAGTTTGTGTGGTTGATATTAATGGATAAAGTAAGAATAAAGTAAGAATGATTTTGAGTCACACAAAGTTTACCAAATAAGGTATGAGACAATTAAACAGGGACATCTCAATATGTTAAAACGGGACATTTAAAAGGAGACGGAGGGAGTAGCACTGATACAAAGTGAGGGCAGTCAATAGAACAAAAGTTTTCCCCTAATTTAAGGCACCAAAAATGTGTGTTTAACTACTAATGTCGGTTAATTTCAGGTTAACGACGCGTCAAATGTCAACTGACCAACATTTACGTTGTTATCATTCATGATTCTAAAAAAGACACTGCATTAAATAATTAAAGTGTTCTTTCATTCACATTCAAAATTCCAATGGAAGAAGGTTCTTTTCTTATCAAAAGCCTATAATATACTACCTCCGTCCCATAATGGTTGTCCACTTTCAATTTGACACGATTATTAATAAAGTGGTTGAAAAGTAAAAGTTGTGGTTGAGATTTGAGTAGAATAAAGTGAATTGATAAGAACCACATATTTCATCTAAAAAAGGAAACAAGACATTCATTTTGAGACAACCCAAAAAGAAAAGTAGGACAACCAAAATGAGACGGAGGGAGTATGATCTGTGGTTTTTTTCAAAAGCAAGGAATCATTACTTTTTTCTTTCTTTATGAGTATAGGAATCATTACTTATTAGAAAGTCACAAAAAATATTACTCCGTAATTGTTTTAAGTCTGACGACGTTATTTAATTTGTGCTCCTATAATTTGTCCGAGCGACGTTATTTTATGTATTCGTTGTAGTCTCATTTTATATTTTTTTCCTGGTTACTTGTTTGCATTTCTATTTTAATTTTTCAGAAAAAATAAAAATGTATTAGTGATGGAATCAAGGTAAGAAAATGAAAAATGAACTATATAAGTGGAGGTGAATAGAAAGTTAAGTAAAAAAAACAGTAAGGCGAGTAAGAGATCTTTTATAAGAAGGGAACTAGTCTGAAAAAATACATAAAAATGGAAATAAAATAATAAACGGGAAGAAGGAAAAAATGGAACTCATAAACATGGAAAAGAAATAAAAATAATAATAAGAAGACGAAACAAGAAAATAAAAGAGTCAAAAGGATAAAAATAAAAAGAGGAAATATTTAGGGAGAGAGAAAAAATGATACATAGGACTGTTTTAAGAAAAATTGTGAAAGGTGGGATTTACGATTTAATATTTTGCAAAAAAACCTAGAATATGTAGCAGGTCAGATCAGGGACCGATGAAAGAAAATGAGATGTAAATGTAAGATTATTCCGGAATTAGGATTACATGATACTATTATTGTAAGAAGATCATTAAAAGGTGAGATTATTAGTTTTCATTTTCTCTAAAATAATGAGACCTTATCACTTTTAGACTTTCGATTATTATGTTAGTGACATTTCTTATATTCAATTTTGAATAGTTTCACTTTTAGTCTTTTGATATTTGTGCAAAAAATACTTTTGATACCTGTCTTTAAAATATTCCATACTTAGTTCTTCAGCTTTAATAAAAGTGACATTTTTAATCATTCAACTAGTGTAACATTGACATTAAGGATACTTTTACTTGGACGGAAATTTTGTGGCCGGTCTGCTCTGTTCCGGTCTGGTCTGAACTGGTCTGGTGTGGTAAATGTCTGCTCTCTGTGTATTTTATAACTTTACAAGTCTTGTATGATCTGGTTTGGTCTGAAAACAATCCAAGTAAAAACATCCTAATTTATAGTTCTTTAGTTATTACGTCAAAATCATAATGAAATGAGTAAAAGTGCATGTATGATCGCATGTGAGTAATTTTGAAGTCGATGATTAAAAGTGTATCTCAAACAAGTCAAAAGAATAAAAGTGAAAAAATTACAAATCCAGTATCAAAATTAAAGTGTTACCGATAGAATAGCTGAGGACTAAAAAACACAAAAACTCGTAAAATAATACTCGTAATACTTAGAGTATGTTTGGAACAACTAGCTGAAAAGATACTTTTGTGAGCTTTTTAATAACTGTTAGCTTTTAGTGAGTGAAAAGATCTTAAAAAGAAAAGGTGATAGCTGTTTGGTAAAAAGCTGACTGTTTGATTTAGTTCGGTTTGGTATACGAGCTGTTAGGACTAATTAATACTAAAAGTCACGACCTTTTCTCAGATGCTACACCCGGTAGCATCTCAAAAAAGATCTTTTAATTTTTGAAAAGCTCTTAAAAAATGTCATGCCAAACATATAACTAGAGTCTTTTAAGGTCTTTTTAAAGAAAAGAAAAGTTAGAAGGCAGAGGCTTTTGTGTGCCAAACATGTCCTTATAATGGTAATGGTGGTGATACTGAATCCAAAATGCACAAGCAGATGACGATTACGTAGAGTGATAACTGTGATATACTTCGTATATATATACGGAGTATTAGGTAGAATTTGTTTATGTATATAAAAAAACATCTGATTTAGTGGATTATATGAGGGTTACGCCGCATTGATGCATGCAGGAGTATCTGGAATGCGACGCAGAGGAGGAAATTGGGAGGGTACTCTTCGTGCGGCACAGGCAACCCTATAGACGACTGCTGGCGTTGCGATCGCAACTGGCATAAAAACCGGAAGTGGCTGGCCAACTGTGCCATAGGCTTTGGAGCCGCCGCAATCGGCGGCCGTGACGGCAAATTCTACGTGGTAACGGACTCGAGCGATGACGACGCGGTGAACCCGAAACTCGGCACGCTCCGCCACGCCGTCATTCAAGAGGAGCCGCTGTGGATCGTGTTCAAGAGCGACATGCTGATCACCCTGAAGCAAGAGCTGATCATTAACAGCTTCAAGACCATTGACGGCCGCGGAGCCAACGTCCACATCGCTTACGGCGCTGGTCTCACCCTCCAATACGTCACCAACATCATCATTCACAACGTCAACATCCATCACACTAAACCTACCGGAAACGCCATGGTCCGGAGCTCCACCACCCATTTCGGCTGGAGGACGATGGCCGACGGCGACGCCATTTCCCTGTTCGGGGCCTCGCATGTTTGGATCGACCACAACTCTCTCTCTAAATGTGCTGATGGACTCGTTGATGCTATTATGGGATCTACTGCAATAACCATTTCCAACAACTACATGACCCACCACAATGAGGTTATTTATACTTGCCCATTGTTTTTTGTGACGGTCAACATTTTACATTTGTCAACGTGCATCTTTGATCGTAAATATATCTTATTCTCTATTAGTAAAAAAAATTTAAAAATCAGATTTTGAAAATTTGTTATGAGATAAAAATTTGTTATGATAACACTAGTAAGATAAATTAAAAATCTGGTAACACATATTATGCGTTCTCAAATTTATTCGAGAACGCACAAATGCGCAGTTATCTTCAAGAATTAATTTGAATGTGTTCCCGATTGAATTTTTACCTGAAATTTGGTATGAATAAACTAGACTTGGTGATTACGATGCTCAAAAAATATCATCAAAAAATTCCACCGAGAACTGTCCCAAATCGCGACGGTCGGATAGAACCTCCTATAGAAGGACTTAATTGACCTTTTTATGAAAGTTCGAGGACCTATTTGACAGTTTTCCCCTTAAAAAGGAATGAATGGAGTATAAATTTCATATACTTTTATTATAATTTTTGTAACAAAGAGTATTTTCATATTACTTTCATATTATAAATACTTAAGTCGATTATAATTACTCTTTAGGTCATCAGCCCTTCCTAGATTGCCTTTATCTGCCCTTGGCTTGAGTTCCAAATTGATTTGCAAAATTGACTTTTTTAGTTAAACAATTTCATTTTATTTACTTAATTAAGATGTCAATTTTTAATTATATTCTAAATTAGAGTTTACAACTTTGTAATGATATTTATGTAGTTTTCAAATGTGTAAATTTTAATTAAAATTTCAATTAATTATCAATGTAGATGATTTAACTTTATGACCAAAAAACGTTGAATTTACAAATAAATTTGGGAAGGGAGTAGTACCCAATACTACGTACCACGTACTTCGCATTATTGAATATAACGGTTCAATTAAGCGATTTGGATACATGCAGGTGATGCTACTGGGGCACTCTGACGCATACACCAAAGACAAGGCTATGCAGGTCACAATTGCGTTTAACCACTTTGGAGAAGGCTTGATTCAAAGAATGCCAAGGTAACAATATGCATACATATTAATTACACCGTATATACAAAAGAAATTGTATAAGTTTATTTATACCTAAATAGGACTTCAGATTACATTTTTGTCGTACCCCTAATTAAATCCAAAATCACCGCGTCCGACATATTAGAAATTAGCGATCTGCATATTCTGGATTTGGGAGTTGTTGTCTTCTTCCTCATCAGAGACCTCATGATAAGTTCGTCAGCGATTTTCCAGTCTTCCATCGCCGCCACCGCTCGTCGGTACCACAGCCATAGCAACCGCCAATCTTCTCCATCTCCGCCAGCCTTCTGCAATTTTTCTTGGAATCAAGTAATTTCTCCTTCTCCTTCCCTCTCCTCCTCTCTTTTCTTCTCCTCTCTTTTTTCTCTTCCACTTCCTTGTTGGTCGTGCTCTGTTTTTGTCCCTTGGAATTCAATTAGATCTGATAAATTGGATGGCAATTGAATAAGGTTTGAGGGGATGGGAATTGAACAAGTTTTGAGGAACGAGTGGTCAAATTTTTTTTATTGGATTTTTAATTTATCTTACTAGTATTATTTTTGAATTTGAAAATTTCATAACTATTTAAAACTGAATTGAAAAAATGTCACAAATATATTAAAATGACAAGATCACATATAATTTTATTACTCAAATGAAGAGCTAGATTTCCACAAATGAAAATTAATGGGATATATCTCAACTTGTATTTCTTCTGATTCATTTGATTGATTTGAATCACAAATTGTCCTGACTTAAGATTCTCAAGAAAATGTCACGTTTTGAATCAGAAAATGTCATTATTATTGATTATTTGAAAAAATGTCTTTTTTATGTCATTATAGTATTTAAAGTTGTCATATTGAGAATGTCATGTTTCTATACGAAATTGTCATTATTGTGTCATTATGAATATACCAAGTGACATTCTCGCATATCAAGTGGCATTCTCGATGGAGGTTACAGGGACTTGTCGGAGAACGGCGGCTTCGTCAGAGGATGGCGGCGGCGAACTTTGCTGAGGCGGCGGACTTGCTGGAGGATACACGGTTGCGCTGGAGGATGGTTGCCGCACATGTTTGGATGACTGTTGCGGCACATGTCTGGAGGTTGGATGAGATGCGCAAAATATGTTACGGCAGTTTCATTAAGGCTAGCTATTATTGTCCAAACGCAAATATTCAGTCCTATTTAGGAAATTTAAAACAATTGGTCATGTTTTTGCAATGGTCTCATGTTTTAGTCCTGTTTTGGAAATTCTCTCTATATACAACCATGCACTCTCACTATGACTATTTATTTTGGGTTTTTTTTACAAATTTAATTGAGATGTACAATAACTAATATCATAAATTTTGGTCTTCACACTTCAACGGCTCTTTGGTAATCCCTGATTTTAGCTTGGCGGCCTTGTCATTTGACTTTTGTTATGAAACACGTAACTTTGATTTATCACACATAATTATGTAATAGTCACAAAGGGTATGTATGTTGAAGTTACTTTTCTGTCTGAATTGTCTGAAGTTACTGCAGAGGGTCATTTTAGCTATTTGAAGTTAGTGTTGAAGTTACATCGGACTTAATATCCTTATTCTCAAAACATCATATATACGACATAGTTACTCCTACTTCTTGACATGCATGCAGGTGTAGGCATGGCTACTTTCATGTGGTAAACAATGACTACACTCATTGGCTAATGTATGCGATTGGAGGCAGTGCTAACCCCACAATCAATAGTCAAGGAAACCGATACCTTGCCCCTGATGACCTTAATGCCAAAGAGGTTCGTGATAATTAGTCGTGTGATAAACGTATTACATTCTTTCTTAGCTTGCCTCTTGCATAAAACCCATATATCTATCGGACTACATTTAATTTTCTCAATGAGCTTGCATGGTCCATTGTAATCTAGGAACCAATTAGTTAAGAGTTAATTGTGCATATAGGATTAAAAGCTTGTCCGTTTGCAGAACTAAGACCAAAAAACTAATTGAACTATGTTTCATATGATTAATTATGTGTGTTTTAGACAAGTATACCCTTGTAACTATTGAAATGTTTTAATTCATAATAAAATCATAAAAGCTAATAAAAATTCATTAAAAATATTAAAAAATTAATAAAAATATTTAAATAATAATAATTTTAAAAAATTATAAAATTAAAAAAAAAATCACAAACGGGGAAAAAATTCACCGCCGCCTCTGCCACCCCAGCACCACCACCTCCGGTCACCGGGGAGAAATGCCACATACATTAGGAATGCCATATTTATGACAGATTCAATGAAAATTTTGGCATTCTCAAAGAGTAATATGCTATTTTTGGTATTTTCAGAAAAATGGTATTTTTTTTTAGAAAAAATGACTTTTTTTACACCGGTCAGAGGTGGTGGTGCAGGGAGGCAGTACAGGTGGTAGGAAAAGCATCCATTTTTTTAATTTTTTTATGGATTTTTACTTTAAATATTTTAATAATTTTTTCATTATTTTGCTATGATTTTAATTATTTTTTACGAATTTATTATGAATTGAAATATTTAATTATGTCTTTGACTACCTTTTACACATATTTAAAGGAGGGGTAAGAATGAAATAAAAAAATAGGTATGTTTCCATATAGGAGTATTACGGTCCTATTTTGGAATAAAAACATAAGAAATCTTATTTTTTATTTTTACCATAGTTTTACTCCAATTTTGGGTAATTTCTGATTATTTAAAATGCTAGGGCCAAACTCTGTCAATATTTAATACACCATAAAAACAAGAAAAATATATAAATAGGACTAAAATATAAAATTATTACCCTAAATAGGATTAAAAACAGGGCGGAGCCATGTACAAGGTAAAGGGGGTCTTGCCCCCCCCCCCCCCCCCCCCCCCCCACACACACACACTTTTTTAGAAAATATCTTTATTATAAATTATTTGTGGCCCCCAAAATATTATGAAGGCAATTAGGCAAGCCATTAGTCACTTTTGTGATGATCAATATTTTTAAATTTTATATTTGGAAGATTTTCAATTTTAATCTTGTAACTTTTGGTTGTCACTATTAGTAATCCTGTCACTTCACTCGCATGCAGAATAAGTCCTCTGACTAATAGATCTTTGCAGTTTAAGGAATTTTCCACCAAAAAATTGTTAGTTTCATCACCAAATCTGCCAGCAAGTACTATTACAGGACTAAAAATGGGCACAAAGTAAATTTATGGGACCAAAATTGAAAATTTTCCTTTATATTTTAATACGTGTATTATATTTCAGCCCCCCTTGTACTACAGTCTGGCTCCACCCCTGAGTAAAAATGTTTATCATATTTTTATTTCCTAAATAGGAGTAATTTCTGCTATGTTTTGGCAGTATCAAACTTTAAAGACATGGCAATACAGTGAATACTCATATTTAGTGAATTAAAACATGACAATTCTGTTTTAGAGTTTTCAACGTTTTTATTTCTATTTCGAAAATTTTCCCTAAAATATAAGCAATGTGTACAAATATGATCGGCATTGTTTTCTTCCAAATGTAGGACCCCGTTCACTCCTAATTGAGAAAGTTTTGTACCTTTAATACGATCAAATAAGTCATGTTTAAGGAGTAAAACATAACTAATCATATTTGTGAACTTTGCTTATATTTCAATCCTATTTGAAGCAATTTTTTAAAAAGAAGGAACTGTACTTTTCAAACCTTATTATATGTAGAAAAATGACATGTATATTACTAATAGAGTTTCTATAGGCAAAAATATGATTAGTTATGTTTTTGGACAAATTATGACTAGTCACTGTGAACTAGTTACTAAATATGTAATTTTTTGGAAAAATTTTAAAGTAAGTCATATATTTGTCTTTTCATAAATGAGTGAGAATTTTTTTCAGTGCAACAAAGTATAGCATTAAAACCGAAAATGCAGTGTAGCAAAGTAAAAGTGATTATTTTTTCATTTTTCATGTTAAACGCCTTTTTAATTTGAACTGAAACTTGTTTATACATATAGCAAAATTAATAATCACCTTAAAATTTTTTACAATAACTTCATGTTTGTCAACACACAAGTTTGACCATTAATATCTGTCACTCCTTATAAGTAAAAAAGTAAGACAATCAGATTTTGGAAATTTAAAGTTAGCGGAATTTAACAATATTTTTTTAAATTTTAATTTATAATACATAAGTAAATAAAATATAATCAAAGTCGTATATGTGAATAATGCAAAAAGTAAATAAAATACAATCAAAGTAGTATATGTGAATAATGCAAAAAATCCAATGTTGTTGCCGTTAAAAGAGAAAGGAGATAGTACTACACTACGTACGTATAAATTAATTACTGGGTTTTTAGGTGACTAAAAGAGTGGACCAAGGACAAGCACAGTGGATAAATTGGAATTGGAGAACAGCGGGAGACACAATGCTTAATGGAGCAGTGTTCAAACCTACCGGGGCTACATCGTCATCCTCATATGCAAGGGCGTCTAGTACGGTGGTAAAATCAAGTTCATTGGTGCCTTCCTTGACCAGGTATGCGGGTGCTCTTGGCTGTCAAAAAGGAAGGCTTTGTTAAATTAAACGTCTATCTATCTACTCCTCCTTTCACCAAATTTATAATGGAACCGGCCAGCTGAAAAGCTAGTTCACTGGGACGCGTCTCATTTTGGATTGTGTTAGTTATATATATACACACGCGCACAAAAAGATGAACTCAAATTTTCAGATTGTTTTCTTCTTGTGATGAACTCTTTATGCACTAATCTTAATTATGTGATTGGTTGTTTGTGTTACGTTTGTTTGGTGTCTTCATACTCTTAATTAACTAAATTTGTTTTTTTTGTGGGTGTGGATTGTGGAAGTAATACTACACCTCCCCATGGACACTTGTTGCCCTTTAATTTAATGGTAGATTCTATGGTACCCATAAGGTACCGTACCTTTGTCCACATAGACCAACCAGAATCATACAGTTGAATTATTTAAATCTAAATTAAAAGGGATTTAATGATTTGGACCAATCAAATGCATGGTAGGTACAGTACCCCATTTTTTAAATGGGTACCGGAGTTGTCACCTAATTTAATTTTTTTTGGGTGTACGTACAAGTGTACAACTTTAAATATATAGAGTTTAATTAATGTCACAAATTTAGATAAATAAAATGTATAGCCTATTCAGTTAACATGAAAGGAAAAAGTGTGTGTCTGTATAGATAAATAAAGTCACAAATAGAGGTACCAAATAAAAACGTACGTGTAGTATAATGTCGATCTGCGTAGATAAATAATGTTACAAATTTAGATAAATAAAATGTATAGCCTATTTAAATAGATAGAGTATTCACAGACAAACACACAATATTGTTTGTGATCAGTGTTTTCACAGACAAAAATAATAGTTTTCACGGTGAAGTGTAAAGCCGTGTATGTCTCTAAAAACGTGTACAAAAAGAATTTCTCTAAATAAAAACTTTGCTTAACCGTACAAAGTGAGAACAAAACATACGCACCCATATCAATTTTCGTCACGTTAAATTGGACATCTATTATGGATTAGTTTAGTAATCATGTGTTCTTAGTTTATTTCGGAAACCACTTAACGCGCCTTTTATAAATAATTGATCGAAATAATTGTCCTAGATATGACTGAAACTCATAGGGTCCGTTTGGTTGGGGGTGATCTCACATGAAGACCGGAATGTGATGCACGGAATGTTACGTTAGATACCCTTGTTTGGTTCACGGGTTTGAAAAAAAATCGGGAAAGTTACATTCCCGGGAATGTAATATGGATGGGAATCTTAAACCCGTCTATGCCTTAGGTTATCTCACATTCCCGGGGTGATCTGATTTTCTTCCGAAAATACCCTCAATTAATGATATCTTTTCATTTAATTTCTTTATATATTCAATTGTTATCAAATTTCATTTATTGTGACTTTATAAAAAATTTAATGTAGTCTCTAAATATGTAAATTTTATTTACTAAAAATAATCTTATTATTGATAGAGATCGGTTAGTTTAATTTCATGGTCTGTCGAACATCGTAAATTGTGTACTACCTTTTAGGTGGGACGGATGGAGTATTGATTATATTTGAATGTCTATTCTCGTTATTTGCATAATTTTTTTCCTTATCATTTTAATTTTTTAAGGTATTTATGTTATAAGAGTTATAGATTATTTAAGTTTTGATTAGTGGATTTCAAAATTTAATAGCAAAGTTGGTCATTTTTTCTTCATTTTGAAAACAACTTTTACGATAAACTTGATCATTTTTAAATATTAATTTTTTTAGATGATAATAAATATATTTATATTACTATTTGAACAAAGTTTTTTTCATTTCTGTATTGGATCTACAACTTTTTACAATTAAACATATTTTACTTAAAAATAATTCAATTAGGTTTGATTTTATTTAATATTAAGATATTCATTTTTTCTTTAATTTTAATCACTTTAGATGTATATTGTAATAGATTTATTCCGTTAAGAGAAAATATTTAAAGGACATAAAAGTAATTCATCAATTTAACATAACCAGCAATCTGACATTCCCTTGATATTAACCAAACACAAGTGGGAATAAATTGAATACATTCCCGTCAATCTAACATACCTAGCAATCTGACATTCACATGGTAATCTGACATTCCTTGAACCAAACATACCCATACAGTTTCCAATATATGACCTTATTAGTTTTTTTCTCAAAATAATACCTAAATTCACAATATTTAATTAATTAATTAATTAATTAAAAAATAAATATTATTCACTAATATGCCCCTAATTGTTATTATAAAACCTTAACATCCTACTCATTTTCTCAAAACCCTAGCCACCAGCAAATGTCGCGGCATCACACGCCCCGTCGTTGTAGCACAACCCGGCCATCACTGCGGTGCCCCTCTTGTCACGGCATTCACCGCGGCATCCGCCAGCCTGTCGCCGCGGAATCCGCCAACCCGTCACCTCGGCACCCGCCGTCACCATCGCTCGACTCTTGCTGCATTGTCGCCATGTTCGTCCGCATGCTTACGCGCCTACCCACGGCCGCCTCCGTCTCCATGCCACGGCCATCGTCATGCCGCAGCGCTACGGCCATCTCCATGTCGCGGCGCTCGGCCGTCGATCTCCATGCCGTGGCCATCTCCATGTTGCGGTGCTTAGCCGTCTCCATGCCGCGGTGCCAGCGCTCCGCAGCCATCATCTCCATCCTCCATCCGCACGGCTGCACTCCAACTCGCCGCCTCCGAGCGCCTGAGCCGCCTGCCTCCACTCTCAATTCTCTTTCCTATTTTTGAAATTATGGTGTGTGGGCATTAAACATGAGCAATGAATGAATCCATTGACGAAGTGTGTTGGGCAGTAAATAAATGCATTAAGGAAGTTTGTTGTGCAGTGGTTATTACTAATAGGGTAATAACACAGAGCAGTAATTTCGCCATGAAACGCAATATACTTAATTAGACGTAAAATAATATAATTACTCGATCTAAAAAAATAAAAAATAAAAACTATAAATAATTTCCTAACATGAATTAGAAGGAAATTAATTTTGGCGGAAGTGCAGTGATTATTATTGGATGTGCTGTAATGGCAATATAAAGTGCAATAATTTTAATTGGATGAAATTTGTGCAAAATGCACATATTTTAAATATGGGTATTTTAATTGCATCATTCAACATTTAAATATAAAGAATTTTTTTCATATTTAGGGAAACTCAATGAGGTTTAGTCATATCCTAAGAAATTTCCTTAAATAATTTCGGTCCAAACCATCATAGTTAATATGGTAACTGTTTTCCATTCAGTTTTTTTTTTTTTGAGGAAAATCGGCTTACATATAACTCAAACCATTTGGAAAGCAGGAAAACAGACAAAATAACTTAAGAAAACCGCCGTCCCGCGAACCAGAGTCGGAGTCAATCACCTCAGTAATATAACTCACTGATCCAAAAATTGGCACAACTGAGCCAGTGACGGTAATCCTAGTTAAATCATCCCCTACCACCAAATCCAAACATAATGTATTACAATCAGAAAAACAAAGAAAACGGCAAAAGGAAATACAAAACCTGCCAGAAACAGAAAAAAACAACAGAAAAAGAAACAGCAACCAAAGGCACGAATAAACACACCACAGCACCAACCCATCTTCATCTGTAGCACCCACACCCTTAACGAGCTTACCCCTCTAAGTCCGTCGCCTCCCCGTTTTTTGTATTATCCAGAGCCATCTCCTCAGTGTCCTGGTTTTGAGTTATCTCTATTTCCCATGTCCGCCTACGCTTTTCTCCCGAAGCTTCTTCACTTTGTTTCAGAACCACTTCCTTATTGGAAGTACTACCTAAGGCTGCACAAGAATAACCAGAACCCGCATAACCCGCCCGACCCAACCATACCCGATCCTATTTAATCGGGTATTTGATTTTTAAAAATATTCATGGGTTAAATATGTTTGAACCCGCACCTGATGGGTAGGGTTGCGGAAATAAAATTTCAAACCCGATAGTACCCGATCCGGCCGAAGTTCATTTTACTATTATTATGCTACAACGCATTCTTGGATACTTTCATTACTACCTGAGTCAGTTGCATCTTCATTATCCCTCAGTGATTTTCCTACGTTTCCTTGCTCCTTCCACCCCTGGCTCTCCCATCCCGAACTCGAGTCCGCCCCAATCAACCATTTATTTTTTCCTGTAGGGCTGGTCCTCACCCCTCCACCTACCCTGAGAGACGCATCAAAACTCCTTTCTAGTACAAGTCCCTCCTCATACATAAGAGGACAGAACTTTTCAGAGTGCCCCATAACCCCACAAATAAAGCAAAAATTGGGAAGTTTCTCATATTGGAAATCTACCCAATATCCTACCCACCCCTTCTTTTTTCAGCGTTGTACCCTTCTTCAGGGGGAACTCCACGTTAACACAAGCTTTAATATGCAAATATGGCCTCCACTTCTCCCCATAATTATTCTTATCATAATCAACAAACTTACCAAAAAAAATTACCCACTTTCCTAGCAATACCTAAGTTCAACAGACCATAGGGAACGTTATGTACCCTAACCCAGAATTCGGCCTCATTCAGAATAATCTTGTGAGGAATATCAGTAGGTTTGATCTCTTTAACAATCAATAGATTCCTCTCAAACTGCCATGGTCCGCCTTCAATCACACGCTTCATATCCATAGGGTGATTAAAATTAAAGATATACTCCCTCCGTCCCAAAAACAACTTCCCACTTTCCTTAATGGATGTCCCAAAATTAACTTCCCACTTCAATACTTTCCTTATTTGGAAAATTATCTACATCAAAAAAGTGATAAACAGTGACAAACAGTGTTTAAACAGTGTCAAACGGTGTTTAAACAGTGCCAAATAGTGTTTTAACAGTGTCAAACAGTGCACTCTACAGTAAAGTCAAATTTATTTCCTAAATATGTGTGTAGGTCAAACCGGGAGGTTGTTTTCGGGACGGAGGGAGTACCTTTTATCTTCTATTTCTTTGATCTCCATCCCTCTGCCTGGTCTCCATGCCGATGCCAACGCCTCTTTGAGGCCTGCAAAATTGATCTTCCGGTCTGCGATCAGTGCTCCAACCACCGAGAACCGCGACTGAGCCACCTCCCTGTCCTCCTCTCCTTCCTCGGCATCGTCGCAGTCCAGTTCTGCCTCCTTCTCCGCCACCTTCATCCGCCTATACCTATCTGCTATGGTCTCCATCCTTGAGCGCAGCAATATGTGATGCACCCCTCCTCGTTCTCGAC